ACCCGAAACACACAGCCAGGGCAACTAAGGAGTGGCTCCGTAAGAAGCATCTCAAGGTCCTGGAGTGGCCTAGCCAGTCTCCAGACCTGAACCCAATAGAACATCTTTGGAGGGAGCTGAAAGTCTGTATTGCCCAGCGACAGCCCCGAAACCTGAAGGATCTGGAGAAGGTCTGTATGGAGGAGTGGGCCAAAATCCCTGCTGCAGTGTGTGCAAACCTGGTCAAGAACTACAGGAAACATATGATCTCTGTAATTGCAAACAAAGGTTTCTGTACCAAATATTAAGTTCTGCTTTTCTGATGTCAAATCCGATCAAATACTTTTGTCATGCAATAAAATGCAAATTATTAACTTAAAAATCATACAATGTGATTTTCTGGATTTTTGTTTTAGATTCCGTCTCTCACAGTTGAAGTGTACCTATGATAAAAATTACAGACCTCTACATGCTTTGTAAGTAGGAAAACCTGCAAAATCGTCAGTGTATCAAATACTTGTTCTCCCCACTGTACGTACAGTCACTGTGGGGACGACGTCATCGATGCACTTATTGATGAAGCCAGTGACTGATGTGGTGTACTCCTCAATGCCATCGGAAGAATCCCGGAACATATTCCAGTCTGTGCTAGCAAAACAGTCCTGTAGCTTAACATATGCTTCATCTGGCCACTTTTTTTATTGACCGAGTCACTGGTGCTTCCTGCTTTAGTTTTTGCTTGTAAGCAGGAATCAGGAGGATAGAATTATGGTCAGATTTGCCAAATGGAGGGCGAGGAAGAGCTTTGTACGGGTCTCTGTGTGTGGAGTAAAGGTGGTCTAGATTTTCTTTCCCTCTGGTTGCATATTTAACATGCTGGTAGAAATGAGGGAAAACGGATTTAAGTTTCCCTGCATTAAAGTCCCCGGCCACTAGGAGCGCTGCCTCTGTATGAATGTTTTCCTGTTTACTTATGGCCTTATACAGCTCATTGAGTGTGGTCTTAGTGCCAGCATCAGTGTAGTTAGCTCAGCTATCCCCATTGAGACTGTGTCTGTGCCTCGATCTAGGCTGGGCAAAACTAAACATGGCGGTGTTCGCCTTAGCAATCTCACTGGAATAAAGACCATTCCTGTCATTATTGAAAGAGATTGGATTATCTTACATCCCAACATAGGGCTACTTAATGTTAGATCCCTCACTTCCAAGGCAGTCCTAGTCAATGAACTAATCACTGATCATAACCTTGATGTGATTGGCCTGACTGAAACAAGTCTCAAGCCTTATGAATTGACTGTTAAATGAGGTCTCTCCTCCTGATTACACTAGTGACCATATCCCCTGCGCTTCCCGCAAAGGCGGAAGTGTTGCTAACATTTACGACAGCAAAATAAAAAAATTACGCTTCTAGTCATGAAATCTATGCAGCCTACTCAATCACTTTTATAGCTACTGTTTACAGGCCTCCTGGGCAGTATACAGCGTTCCTCACTGAGTTCCCTGAATTCCTATCGGACCTTGTAGTCATTGCAGATAATAATCTAATTTTTGGTGACTTCAATATTCACATGGAAAAGACCACAGACCCACTCCAAAAGGCTTTTGGATCCATCATAGACTCAGTGAGTTTTATCCAACATGTTTTTCCTCATAATCCTGGACTATATGACCACCATCCAATTGCAACAAATAATCTGCTCAGACCCCAACCAAGGATTATCAGAAGCAGTGCTATAAATTCTCGGACAACCCAAAGATTCCTAGATGCCCTTCCAGACTCCCTCCACTTACCCAAGGACATTGGAGTATAAAAATCAGTTAACCACCTAACTGAGGATCTAAATGTAACCTTGCATAATACTGTAGATGCAGTCACAAGAAATTAGCTCCCTGGTATACAGACAATACCCGAGCCCTGAAGCAAGCTTCCAGAAAATGATAAGGGAAATGGCGCTCCACCAAACTGGAAGTCTTCTGACTATCTAGGAAAGACAGTACCGTGCAATATCGAAGAGCCCTCACTGCTGCTTGATCAGCGTATCTTTCCAACCTAATTGAGGAGAATAAGAACAATCCCAAATTAATTTTTGATACTGTCGCAAAGCTAACTAAAAAGCAGCATTCCCCAAGAGAGGATGGCTTTCACTTCAGCAGTGATAAATTAATGAACTTGTTCGATGAAAAGATCATGATCATTACAAATCAAATTACGGACTCCTCTTTGAATCTGAGTATTTCTCCAAAGCTCATTTGTCCTGAGTCATCACAGAACTGCCAGGACCTAGGATCAATGGAGACACTCAAGTTTTTTAATCCTGTATCTCTTGACACATTCATGAAAATAGTCATGGCCTCTAAACCTTCCAGCTGCAAACTGGACCCTATTCCGACTAAACTACTAAAAGAGCTTCCTGTGTTTGGCCCTCCTATGTTGAACATAATAAACAGCTCCCTATCCTCCGGAAATGTACTAAACTCACTAAAAGTGGCAGTAATAAAGCCTCTCTTGAAAAAGCCAAACCTTGACCCGGAAAATGTAAAAAAACAAATTGGCCTATATTGAATCTTCCTTTACTCTCCACATTTTTGGAAAAGGCTGTTGCGCAGCAACTCACTGCCTTCCTGAAGAAAAAAGAATGTATATAAAACTCTTCCGCCTGGTTTTAGACCCCATCATAGTACTGAGACTGCACTCTTGAAGGTGGTAAATTACCTTTTTAATAGCGTCAAACCAAGGCTCTGCATCTGTCCTCGTGCTCCTAGACCTTAATGCTGCTTTTGACACCATCGATCACCACATTATTTTGGAGAGATTGGAAACCCTAATTGGTCTACACGGACAAGTTCTTGCCTGGTTTAGATCTTATCTGTCGGAAAGATATCAGTTCCTCTCTGTGGATGGTTTGTCCTCTGACAAATCAATTGTACGTTTCGGTGTTCCTCAAGGTTCCGTTTCAGGACCACTATTGTTTTCACTATACAGTATATTCTACCTCTTAGTGATGTCATTCGGAAACACAATGTCAACTTTCACTGCTATGCGGACGACACACTTCGTAACATTGCAAAAATCTGAAACTTTTTGTCCAAAACTGATGCAGAAAAGCGAATCCATGCTTTTGTCACTTCGAGATTAGACTGCTGCAATGCTCTACTCTCCGGCTACCTTGATAAAGCATTAAATAAACTTCAGTTAGTGCTAAATATGGCTCCTTGAATCTTGACTAGAATAAAAACATTTCATCATATTTCTCCAGTGCTAGCCTCTGGCTTCCTGTTAAGGCTTTACATGGACTTGCTCCTACCCATCTCTCCGATTTGGTCCTGCCGTACATACCTACACGTACGCTACATTCATAAGATGCAGGCCTCCTTATTGTCCCTAGAATTTCTAAGCAAACAGCTGGAGGCAGGGCTTTCTCCTATAGAGCTCCATTTTTATGGAATGGTCTGCCTATCCATGTGAGAGAAGCAGACTCGGTCTCAACCTTTTAGTCTTTACTGAAGACTCATCTCTTCAGTAGGTCCTAGGATTGAGTGTAGTCTGGCCCAGGGGTGCGAAGGTGAACGGCAGGGCACTGGAATGACGAACCACCTTTGCTGTCTCTGCCTTGCCAGCTCCCCTCTCTCTGACTCTGACCCTATTACATGGGCTGAGTCACTGGCTTACTAGTGCTCTTCCATGCCATCCCTAGGAGGGGTGCGTCTCGTCATGCCAGGCTTTTTTGTGCTATACTAGTCTTGAGTGGCTTGAGTCACTGACGTGATCTTCCTGTCCGGTCTTGCGCCCACTCAGGCTCGTGCGGTGGAGGAGATCTTTGTGGGTTATACTATGCCTTGTCTCAGGGTAGTAAGTTGGTGGCCCGACTCAGTACTACCTGACCTGATGACTTCTGGCTGTCCCCAGTCCACCTGGTCGTGCTCCTGCTCCAGATTCAACTGTTCTGCTTGCGGCTATGGAACCCTGACCTGTTCACCGGATGTACTACCTTGTCCCGGACCTGCTGTTTTTGACTCTCCCTCTCCCTCTCTCTCTCTACTGCACCTGCTGTCTCGACCTCTGAATGCTCGGCTATGAAAAGCCAACTGATATTTACTCCTGAGGTGCTGACCTGTTGCACCCTCTACAGCCACTGTGATTATTATTTGACCCTGTTGGTCATCTATGACCAACGTTATAATCTCCACCCAGCATAGCCAGAAGAGGATTGGCCACCCTTCAGAGCCTGGTTCCTCTCTAGGTTTCTGCCTTTCTAGGGAGTTTTCCTAGCCACTGTGCTTCTACATCTGCATTGCTTGCTGTTTGGGGTTTTAGGCTGAGTTTCTGTATAAGCACTTTTTGACATCTGCTGATGTAAAAAGGGCTTTGTAAATAAATGTGATTGATCAACAACCAACTTGACAGAGTTTGAAGAATTTTTTAAAGAATGAACAATATTATACAATCCACGTGTGCAAAGCTCTTAGAGACTTACCCAGAAAGACTCACAGCTGTAATCGCTGCCAAAGGTGATTCTAACTTGTATTGAGGGGTGAATACGTAGGGAAATGAGATTTCTGTATTTCATTTTCAATACATTTGCAAACATTTCTAAAAACATGTTTTCACTTTGTCATTATGGGGTATTGTGTGTAGATGGGTGAGAAAACAATTATATTTAATATATTTTCAATTCAGGCTGTAACACAACAAAATATGGAATAAGTCGAGGGGTATGAATACTTTCAGAATTGTTACATACTGTAAGTCCCACCAAGAGTAGAGGTATCTTGCTGTTGGTCTTCTGCTGCTAGACATTAGCCCGCAAAGCCGCCTGATCCCCTCGATATTAACCAGACACACCTTTGTGAAAGATGCCCTGTAACTGCAGAGGGAACTGACAGCACTGTAGGGTTAGGTTCTGGGTTTCTGCTGATGTTGTACAAGCCTCTGGTTAGGTTGTGGCCAGGTTGTGTTCAACTTGTGCTCTACAAGCCGTCAGTTGTCTGAGGTTGGTCTGAGGGTGTGGTCAGGTTGTGGTCTAGAGGCCTCTGGTCTGGTTCTGTTTAGTGGTCAGAGGGAAGGATTGTGGTTCTGGAAATGCTGTCACAGCACCTTCAAAGCCGAGCACAGTGATGAAGACGAGGACAGTGAAGAAAATCAACACTGTTACTGTATTGTTCATCACGCTTCCTCACATCATTCAAATCATACTTCACTGTAAAGAGAAAGAGTGAGGGAGAGAGAGACAGAGAGCGAGCGCGAGAGAACGCATAATTCACCATGTTCACCTTCCTGTTTACAGTTAGCCATTAGTGTGTGTGTGTGTGTGTGTGTGTGTGTGTGTGTGTGTGTGTGTGTGTGTGTGTGTGTGTGTGTGTGCTAGTATGTGCGAATGAGTGACAGTGTATTACTCAGCATTATTCACCATGTTCACCTTCCTGTTTACAGTTGGCCATTAGTGTGTGTGCGTGCATGCGTGCGTGTTTGTGTGTTTAGTATGTGTGCATGAGTATTACTAACCTATAAAGACCAGCAGTAGTCCCACGACAACCTATAGTGTAATAGACATGGACAGCAGTGCTATAAGAGGTATGTAGAATCAGTGCTGTGGCCCCACGTGTAGAAAAGTATTTAGCTGAGATGAGTTAGCCATTAGTAGAGTCACATCCAGCATACTCTGAGCTGCAATCTTTTTCATTGGCGTAGTGGTTCATGTTAATCGTCCGGTACACCTTTCCAGAGGGGTTGAGGCGGTCGAGGTTCGCCTGTGTGTTAGAGGGTGTCACGGTTTCGGCCGAGGCTGCTCCTCCTCCTGGTTCGGGCAGGCTTCAGCGGTCGTCGTCCCCGGAGTACTAGCTGCCACCGATCTATGTTTCCTGTTCGTTTGGTTTTGTCTTGATGTTGTACACTTGTGTCTTGTTAGTCCTCGTTAGTGTCCTATTTAGTTCTCGTTGTGTGTGTTTGTCTTTGTGTGTGATTGCTCTTCTGTTTCGTGTTGGAGCTACGTACTTCCCTCCAGTGTTTTGGAGAGGTTTTTCGCACATGTTAGTGCGCCGTTTGTTTGACGCCTGTGTGCGCCGTTATTTCGCCTTCGGGCTTATTGTGCTTATTTTCTACGTGAATATTGCACTAAAGTCTTTTGGACTGAGCTTCTGCGTCCTGCGCTTGATTCATGCACCACATCCACCTTCAGCACCCCTTGACAGAATCACACACCAAAATGGAATCAGCAGGATCTGCAGTAACGCCTGAGTCGCTCGAGGAGCATGTTCGCGGCCAAGATGACCAGATACGACAACTGGGGACCGCTCTACAGGACGTCATCAACACCCTGCACCGATGGGAGGCCAGCGGGGTACCCACACCTCCACCTACCCTGCCTACCCCATCGGCCGGTCCACCAGTCCCAGGTCCGGAACCCAGGGGGATTCGGCTCTCGCTCCCGAGGGCGTATGACGGAACAGCTGCCGGGTGTCAGGGGTTCCTCCTGCAGGTGGAGCTCTACCTGGCCACTGTACACCTGGTGCCCTCGGGACACGAGAGCGTTTCCGCCCACATCTCCTGTCTCACGGGCAAGGCGTTGGAGTGGGCTAACGCCGAGTGGAGGAAGATGGACGCCAACACCATCTCCTACGCCGAGTTCTCCCGCCGCTTCAAGGCCGTGTTCGACCATCCACCTGAGGGCAAAGCGGCGGGGGAGCGTCTAGTCCACCTGAGACAGGGGAGGAGGAACGCACAGGCGTTTGCTCTAGAGTTCCGGACTCTAGCGGCGGACGCAGGGTGGAATGAACGGGCCCTCATCGACCATTTTCGATGTAGCCTACGGGAGGACGTTCAACGTGAGTTGGCCTGCAGGGATACCCATCTCACCTTCGACCAGTTGGTCGATATGTCCATCCGTCTGGACATCCTGCTGGCCACCCGTGGACGTCCCGAGGGGGGTCCGTCCATTCCGCCCTCCGGCACCTCCGAGCCGAGCCCTATGGAGCTCGGGGGTGCCGGCGCTAGAGAAAGGAGGAGGAGGAGCCCGAGGGGGCCTGTCTCCTGCACCAAGTGCAGTCGTGGAGGGCACACTGCGGCCAGGTGCTGGGGAGGGTTCTCCGGGGGAGAAGACAACAGGCCACGCACTGGGGGGGCCTCCCAGGTGAGTAGACGTCCCACTTACCCAGAGCTTTCTGTTGCGCACTTTTGTATACCTGTGTGTTTTCCACAGGTTGCACCTCATTCCCAGCATAAGGCGCTAGTAGATTCAGGCGCAGCTGGGAATTTTGTTGATCGGAAGTTTTGTTTAGATTTAGGGATCCCTCTCCTACCTGTTGACAAACCTTTTCCCGTTCATGCCTTAGATAGCCGCCCGTTGGGGTCGGGGTTGATTAGGGAGATCACAGCACCACTTAGGATGTGTGCGCAGGGGGGTCATGAAGAGACTATACAGCTGTATCTGATCGACTCTCCTGCGTACCCAGTGGTGCTGGGAATTCCCTGGTTAAGCACCCATAACCCTGCTATTTCATGGCAACAGAGGGCTCTCGATGGGTGGTCTGCTCAGTGCGAGGGGCGATGTCTGGGTGTTTCTGTGGGGGCGACTTCGGTGAAAGTCCAAACCAAGTGCCCGCACTGCACATTCCGCCTGAATATGTGTTTAGTAAAACTAGGGCGACGCAGTTGCCTCCTCATAGACAGGGGGATTGTGCGATTGATCTCCAGGCAGGAGCAGCGCTCCCACGGAGCCACGTGTATCCTTTGTCTCAAGAGGAGAGAAAAGCTATGGAGACTTACATAGCCGAATCTTTGAGACAGGGATACATTCGGCCCTCCACTTCTCCCGCCTCCTCGAGTTTCTTTTTTGTGGAGAAGAAAGATGGAGGGTTGCGCCTGTGCATTGATTACCGTTGTCTCAATCAGATTACTGTGAAATACAGTTATCCACTCCCTCTGATTGCGACCATGACAGAGTCATTGCATGGAGCGCGGTTTTTCACAAAATTGGATCTCAGGAGCGCGTATAACTTGGTGCGCATCAGGGAGGGCGACGAATGGAAGACAGCGTTTAGTACCACGTCAGGTCATTTCGAATATCTCGTCATGCCATATGGGTTGATGAATGCTCCCTCAGTCTTCCAATCCTTCGTAGATGACATTTTCCGGGATATGCAGGGACAAGGGGTGGTCGTGTACATTGATGACATTCTGGTGTACTCGTCTACCCGAGCCGAGCATATAACCCTGGTGCGTCGTGTATTGAGGAGGCTTTTGGAGCACGACCTATATGTCAAGGCAGAGAAATGTCTGTTTTTCCAGGAGTCGGTCTCCTTTTTGGGTTATCGGTTGTCCGCGTCAGGGGTGAGAATGGAGGTGGATCGTGTGTCCGCTGTGCGTAATTGGCAAACTCCAACCACTGTAAAAGAGGTGCAGCAGTTCTTGGGCTTTGCGAATTACTACCGGAGGTTTATCCGGGGTTTTGGACAGGTGGCAGCTCCCATCACGTCCCTTCTGAAAGGGGGTCCGGTGCGCCTGCAGTGGTCAGCTGATGCGGACAGGGCCTTTAGGAGACTGAAGGACCTGTTTACGTCGGCTCCGGTGCTGGCGCATCCGGATCCCGCATTACCCTTTCAGGTTGAGGTAGACGCGTCTGAGGCTGGTATAGGGGTCCGTTCTCTCTCAACGGTCCGGCACGCCACCTAAACTCCGCCCCTGTGCTTTTTACTCAAAAAAGCTCAGCCCGGCGGAGTGTAACTATGACGTTGGGGACAGGGAGCTGTTAGCTGTAGTTCAAGCCCTTAAGGTGTGGAGGCATTGGCTTGAGGGGGCTCAACACCCTTTCCTCATTTTGACTGACCATCGGAACCTGGAGTACATCCGGGCAGCGAGGAGACTGAACCCTCGCCAGGCTCGATGGAGTATGTTTCTCACCAGGTTCGTATTTAAAATCACGTACATCCCTGGGTCCCAGAATGGTAAGGCAGATGCGCTGTCCCGGCGGTATGACACGGAGGAGAGGTCCGTTGAGCCCACTCCCATACTACCGGAGTCTTGCCTTGTGGCACCGGTGGTGTGGGAGGTCGATGCCGAAATCGAGCGAGCGTTGCGTACCGACCCCAGCCCTCCACAGTGTCCTGAGGGTCGGAAGTACGTTCGGCTCGAGATTCGGGATCGACTCATTTACTGGGCTCACACGTCACCCTCCTCTGGACATCCGGGTATTGGCCGGACAGTGCATTGCCTTAGCACTAAATACTGGTGGCCCACTTTGGCTAGGGATGTGAGGGTTTATGTCTCCTCCTGCTCGGTGTGCGCCCAGTGTAAGGCGCCCCGACATCTGCCCAGGGGTAAGTTACAACCCCTGCCCGTACCACAACGACCATGGTCCCACCTCTCGGTGGATTTTGTGACAGACCTTCCCCTCTCTCAGGGGAATACCACCATCCTGGTCGTTGTGGACCGGTTCTCTAAGGCCTGTCGTCTTCTCCCTATGTCGGGTCTTCCTACTGCCCTACAGACCGCTGAGGCCCTATTTACCCACGTCTTCCGGCATTACGGGGTACCCGAGGATATAGTGTCTGATCGAGGCCCCCAGTTTACCTCCCGTGTTTGGAGAGCGTTCATGGAGCGTTTGGGGGTCTCGGTTAGCCTTACCTCAGGGTACCACCCGGAGAGTAACGGGCAGGTAGAACGTGTCAACCAGGATGTGGGTAGGTTTCTGAGGTCGTATTGCCAGGGCCAGCCGGAGGAGTGGGCACGGTACATTCCCTGGGCCGAGATGGCCCAGAACTCTCTCCGCCACTCCTCTACCAACCTAACCCCCTTCCAATGTGTGTTAGGTTACCAGCCGGTTCTGGCACCTTGGCAGCAGAGCCAGATCGAGTCCCCTGCGGTGGATGATTGGATGAGGCGCTCGGAAGAGACGTGGAACGCTGCCCACGTCCACCTGCAGCGGGCCGTCCTTCGTCACAAGGCGAGCGCCGATCTCCACCGCAGTGAGGGGCCGGTGTACGCACCCGGAGATCGAGTCTGGCTCTCTACCAGAAACCTACCCCTCCGCCTGCCCTGCCGGAAGCTGGGTCGGCGGTTTGTGGGGCCCTTTAATGTCCTGAGAAGATTGAACGAGGTGTGTTATAGGTTACATCTACCTGTTGAGTATAAGAATATTAACCCCTCGTTCCATGTGTCTCTTCTCAGGCCGGTGGTAGCTGGTCCACTCCAGGACAATGAGATAAGGGAGACTCCTCCGCCCCCACTGGACATCGAGGGGGCTCCGGCGTACACCGTTCGGTCCATCTTGGACTCAAGACGCCGGATGGGGGGTCTCCAGTATCTCGTGGAGTGGGAGGGGTACGGCCCGGAGGAGTGGTGCTGGGTGCCGCGGAGGGACATCCTAGACCCATCTCTCCTGTCGGAGTTCCACCGGGACCATCCCGCGCGCCCTGCTCCGCGTCCTCCTGGTCGTCCCCGAGGCCGGGGTCGGCGCACGGCTGGAGCTGCGCGTCAAGGGGGGGGGTACTGTCACGGTTTCGGCCGAGGCTGCTCCTCCTCCTGGTTCGGGCAGGCTTCGGCGGTCGTCGTCCCCGGAGTACTAGCTGCCACCGATCTATGTTTCATGTTCGTTTGGTTTTGTCTTGATGTTGTACACCTGTGTCTTGTTAGTCCTCGTTAGTGTCCTATTTAGTTCTCGTTGTGTGTGTTTGTCTTTGTGTGTGATTGCTCTTCTGTTTCGTGTTGGAGCTACGTACTTCCCTCCAGTGTTTTGGAGAGGTTTTTCGCACATGTTAGTGCGCCGTTTGTTTGACGCCTGTGTGCGCCGTTATTTCGCCTTCGGGCTTATTGTGCTTATTTTCTACGTGAATATTGCACTAAAGTATTTTGGACTGAGCTTCTGCGTCCTGCGCTTGATTCATGCACCACACCCACCTTCAGCACCCCTTGACAGAGGGTAGAAACGCCAGGATACACACGGAAGCACAAAACTTAACACACGCAAGCATGCACACACACACACACAGATTCAGTGAATATACAGACAATGCCTTTCCTCTAATGCAGAACAGTTTATTACGTAACTACAACACACGTTCACACACAAGTGGGAGCAGGAAGTCACTCTGAGATGCTGCTTCACCTGAGAGGTAGATACATGACAGAGCATGCAAAAGGACACATTCCCTCTCTATCCTATCCTCTCCTCTATCCAACCTACCCCGAATCTCCCTCCTCTGCCTCATCTTCTCAGTGACTGAAATGTTAGCACTAAGCTACAAGTGTAAGTAAAAACATAAACTCTGAAATAAAGACATATTAAAGAAGCTCCAACAGTCTTAGGGATGAAACAAACCACCTCTAAACCACAACAATTTTCTCACGGGGGGGGGGTGAGGTTGGAAATTGTCAAGTACGGGTAAAAGGTAAATAGCCTATGAGACGTCACATGTGTGTGCGACCAGGGTGCACAAAGAGCGTAGTCACCTCTTTGCGGAGGCTAGAAATATAGCGAGTAGGCAGACAGACAAAATATTTATGTTGTCAAAAAGTTTGAAAGTGTCATACAGGTACCTGCCAAAATAAAGGAAACAGTAACATAAAGTGTCTTAATAGGGCATTGGGCCACCACAAGTCAAAACCACTTCAATGCGCCTTGGCATATATTCTACAATTATCTGGAACTCTACTGGAGGTGATGGGACACCATTCTTCCACTAGAAATTTCATAATTTGTTGTTTTGTTGATGGTGGTGGAAAACGCTGTCTCAGGCGACGCTCCATAATCTCCCATAAGTGTTCAATTGGGTTAAGATCTGATGACTGAGATGGCCATGACATATGGTTTAACATCGTTTTCATGCTCATCAAACCATTCAGTGACCACCTGTGCCCTGTGTATGGGACCAAGGTCAAATTATTTTTATATTGGATATTCGGTGGATATTCGGTTCTCTCTCGTCAATAGTTATTGAACCAAGCATTCCATGACAATGAATATGGTATATTCGGAAATCAGAGGTGGCTGGAGAACAATCCACTGCTTTTTGTTTTTACGACGACTTGCCCTTCAAGTAGAAGTTTGATGGTCACAATTTGGAAAACCTTCTGGCGGGTAACTGCAACTGTAGGCTATCTCCTTGCAGCCCATTTCCAGATGGGCTCAATCAAAATTACAATGTTACTCAGTTGCTTATGCCACAGTCACTAACGCGCTATGAACCCTCACTGTAATCGGAGGTACTAGGATATAATGTTTTAACTTTCCACATACTTCTATGTCATCTAATTTGTTGAGAGCAATATCCCCTCCATTCACCCATGGTTCACTGTCCATGCTGTCCGCGAAACAACAGCGGTCACCGATTTAAACCGATAACGGAAAACTGCTCTCATTGATCGAGCCAGGGGTGTATTAATTACGTCTGGCAACGGAAACCGTTTACTGTTTAAGAACCAAACGGAAGCAAACAAAGCAAACGGAACAAAACGGAGGGACCTACCTGAATTTGTCCAATAGAAACTCTGGTTTTTGAACCGCCAGTTGCCCATCCCTGATCTAAGGCATGCTGCAAAGTGTGTAGGGTATTTAAGGAATGAGGCCAATTAAATCGGAGGAGAGTGTAACTTGACACGCAGACATCTGCTATATTGACTTGCATTAATTTGCGCGCAGAATGATGGCGCTGTAATTGCTTTGTTAGTGGGAACACATTCGTGTCCATCTCTTCCACTGAATCTAAACATCACAGCTGGGTAAGGTAAAAGCATAATTAACCTATTCCATGTTAGTTGCTAGGCTAAGAATAGAGGCTTTCTCTGAATAGATCTGGATTTTAAACGAAAAACATACTGTAGACCAAAGCTCCGTGATTTGTACCAATGCGTTTTATTGTAGGCCTATTACAGCGTTGTAGATACATAGCATAATAAGCTTTAAGGCAAAAGTAACAGAAAATGTACAATAATAATCAGTTTTTATACCATGCGATAATATTCAAGTAGAAAAATAATCCAGAGACCCACCATATATTTCAGGGTTATATTCACTTGTGTTTTACAATTTGAACGCATTAAATCATAAAACAAACTACAGGTCAATTTGGTTGATATAAAACAACCTCTAGATCTAACTCTGAAACTTAGACTCATTCAATTCTAGGCCAGAGAGAAGAGAGCAGATTTAGAGCCTGCTGAGCCAAAAGCTATTTCCCTGAGATGCTTCGCTTTCTTCTTTTTTTCTTCGCCTCATAGGCTTAATCTGAAAAACGAATACATTTCTGAGCATCTCATGAAAAAAAGTATTGGTCCAGCAAACAACACAGCTATTAACTAACTTGAAATCCCTATGAGCGTTACTGATTCTGACAATCCAAGTGTGTTTAATTACACACAAGCTTCCCCAAAAAATAATATATAATTTAAACGTTTCTCAGTATACGTTTTCTGGATATTCGTCATAAAAGCAACTTGCCAAAGAAACTATAGACTACCCATGGCAGAGGGGTCCACATTATATTCATAATAAACCATTTGAAATGATTACTTGTATCAATTTACACGTTGAATTTTTTACAACACAGTATTTCTCAAGCACCAGCCCACTCGTCACTCCTGTTCAGTCAAATCCTCCTCAGGTGCAGACCTTTTGCCCGGGTGCTGTCTCTTCTCCTCCGCGCGACTCTTGTTCACGTTGTCTAATAGCTCGAGTAATAGGTTGGCCTTTCTGCAGCCAGGGTCCAGCACGTCACAGGGATTGTTGGCGCCCAAATCCGGGCTCATGTTATCCCAGTAACGTTTGCCGGGGTGTTGGCGCTTCTCCAACTCCTGGAGGTCCCCTGCGTCTGACTCGTCGTCCACATCTCGCTTGCCAGGATGCTGGCGCTTGCTGTACATCATCAGGTAGCGCTTGCCCGGGTGCTGACGTTTGGAGAGTTCACTTAGAAATGCGGAGTTCTCTGTAATCTGCTCCAGCATTGAGCGTTTGCCTGGATGCTGCCTTTTCTGAAGCTCCACAAAAGAGTCAATTTCGTCTTCGCGTTTTCCCGGGTGCTGTCTTTTCTGGACCTCCCCATAGTCTTCGTCCTCGGCCTCCTCTCGTTTACCAGGGTGTTGCCTTTTCTCCAGCTCCTCCTGGTACCTCTTACCAGGGTGTTGCCGCTTCACTAGCCACTCTGGCGGAGAGGACAATGCCTCTGTAAAATTAAAACCTGATTAGTTTAGTGACAGGGGAAAATATAAATATACCGCCACTTGTTATGCCATGTGTACATGTATTAACAATTGAACATACAACGTTTTGATAGCACTTACTTGTAAAAGTTAGGTTATGTCAAACATATTTATTCCATGCAAAACATGTTTTCTGTTTTCATTCTTCCCCCATTAAAATATAGGCATATGTACTTTGGTGCCAGGATTAACTACTGGAAAATATTGGATGCGTTTTACGTGCGCTTTGCCGGTTGCCCTCTCCAAATAGATTTGTATCCTAACAAATAACACGATCTATTAATTTATTAACGTAAATGTTGCACAAAACATGAATGAAAGATCTTGGAAATGTTAGGTTATTTATTAATAAAAAAAACATACAATCGAAATTATTGAGTTAATCTGGTCTTTCTGAAACTAATCGAAATGTGTCTTTCGTGCAACTAAGTTACTTTAAAACAGGCATACAAAGGCATAACTAGAATGCATGTGTTCAATTGTGTTAAATTCTTTGCAATTCAATGTAAAACACCACTGGTCTCGTGTCAAACTCGGCCAGTTTGACAAAAACACAAAATCGATCCAAAAGCAACTATTACGCACCATTCACGCCATCCTCATCCTCTATCATTTTTAGAATGGAGCTGAGCAGGAGGCTCTCGGCTCTCTGTAGGATGATATCGTCTATCTGCGGGTCCCCAGTCTTCTCCTCAGCGGGGATGCTCTGTCCTCGAGCCAACGTCAGGTTGCAGACTGCCAGAGATGCCAGAATGAACAGGCAGGTGGACTTCATCGTAACCTGGCCATTCGTTCGAAAACGAGAATAGATCATTATTAGTGGAAATATACTAGGTTACTTAAAAAAACATGATTTCTACATGATATTTAATTGACATTGGCATTGTATAACTCATTTGGAGTACTCTGTTTTACACACATACTAGATTTCAAAAGCCTATTAGTCCGTAAAACTGGAAAATCCTTTATGAATAGATTAGCAAACCATTTTGCAATGCACAAACCGAAGGTCCAGAGACATTATCTCATGTAAAAAAAGTGATCCAAACTTACCTTAGATTTATGTTCTGGCTATTGTCACTAGCAGCACCTTCAATAACCTTTAAATTGCAGCCAACCAACTAGAAAGGTTGTTCTTTGCCTCTTGCAGCGGTTGGAGACCCGTTGAGACCAAGTTTATAGGTATGTTCCTATACAACGCGTCCAGCCATTTATAGTCAGCGGTTACCGCCGTCACGCCAACCACGCTGTAGTAATTTCATAGGATTCCTCGTCTCCCATTGATTTCACATTCGTGCGCAATTTGATTAAAGTAGGTTCTAACCTCTAGAGGACGCTGTCTGGTTCTTCTATTGGGCGCCAGCTGAGCCGACCAGCCGAATCGGAAGGAGTGAAATATGATGACTGCGAGAGAGGATTCATTCAGAAATATCGCAGTGTGGTTGTGCTTATTTGGCAGAAGACCGATTTAATGTCATTTTCAAGTCGTTTAAGATGAGCCTACACTAAATGTCAATGATGAAAATGTATGGATTCATTCCTAAACTACTGCAGCCCCTATATCTGTATTTTCTCTCCAACTATAGACATTAATTGATGCGTCATGCTAATTCATTTTCAATTCCAGACAATTAAGGGTGCGTTCGTAAATTCACTGTGGCTATCTACTCAGATTTCAGAGCACTTGTCTGAGTGTGCCAGAGCGCAGAATAACTGATGAATTTACGACCTCAACCCTGGCTGAATATGACTGGTGTCAGTAAATGTTGGCAAAAAAAGTAATTAAATTGTTGCCAGCAGCACAGTTACAGTCACTAACCTCTCTAGATCACATGAAAACAGCCTAACCAGCTCTGCTAGGGCGTGTAAAATGGTCAGAGTGAGGTGTTCTCTCATTTGTGTCTGGATGTAGCTAGCAAGCTAGCCAACTTTAGCCAGTTAGCTTGGGCGCTTGACTGCCGTTGTGAGCGGATCAACCCTAGACCTTGGCCAGAGCGTCCAGTGTGCGCTCTGAATGCTCCAAGAGCAAAATGCTTTGAATTTATGAACAGGCAATCTGACAATGCTTTGAATTTACGAACGACCCAGTGTGCACTCTGACACACTGGAGACAATTTACAAACGCACCCTTAGAAAGTAAACCAAATTCCAATTCCAAATGTTCCGCATTGAAAAGCGTTGAAGAGAATTGGAATTTCAGTGTACTTCCTTAATTGACTGGAATTGAAATGGAATTGACCCCAACCCTGGTGATTGTTGGTAATGGTGTTTGAGATGGTGCGTCATCCCCATGCCATTTTACCCCTAATTTCCCATTGCATTTAATAGACCTCTGGTAATATAGCAATGCTTCTGTGAGTCAATGATAACGTGCACTGAAGAACAATTGAACGTAATAACCAACTTATCCTTTTGAAAGCATATGTGGCATCAATATGAGTCAAACATTTATTCTAGTGTCGAAATGAACTAGAACATGTAAATAGGATAATTTTGGTCATAAAGACAGTCTTGTCCAAAACAGAGATTTTCTAAGTGTTAGGAGAATATTCATGCCATCAATGTCCCACCAAATTTACACAGAACAGGGTTGCCATGTTCTCAGAATATAAGATATTAATGTTCTAGACACGTTTCATGGGAACCTTGCAAGAACATTCCTGTGTATCAGTCGTCAGGACGTCGCCTTATTGTCCTGCTGAAAGGCGAATCTGTCTCCCAGTGTCTGTTGAAAAGCAGACTGAACCAGGTTTTCCTCTAGGATTTTGTCTGTGCTTAGCTGTATTCCATTTCTTTTTATCCTAAATACGATACCTAGTCCTTGCCGATGACAAGCATACCCATAACATGATGCAGCCAACACCATCCTTGTAAATACAGTGAGGGAAAAAAGTATTTGGTCCCCTGCTAATTTTGTATGTTTGCCCACTGACAAAGACATGATCAGTCTATAGTTTTAATGGTAGGTTTATTTGAACAGTGAGAGACAGAATAACAACAAAAAAATCCAGAAAAACGCATGTCAAAAATGTTATAAATTGATTTGCATTTTAATGAGGGAAATAAGTATTTGACCCCTCTGCAAAACATGACTTAGTACTTGGTGGCAAAACCCTTGTTGGCAATCACAGAGGTCAGACGTTTCTTGTAGTTGGCCACCAGGGTTGCACACATCTCAGGAGGGATTTTGTCCCACTCCTCTTTGCAGATCTTCTCCAAGTCATTAAGGTTTCGAGGCTGACGTTTGGCAACTCGAACCTTCAGCTCCCTCCACAGATTTTCTATGGGATTAAGGTCTGGAGACTGGCTACGCCACTCCAAGGCCTTAATGTGCCTCTTCTTGAGCCACTCCTTTGTTGCCTTGGCTGTGTGCTTTGGGTCATTGTCATGCTGGAATACCCATCCACAACCCATTTTCAATGCCCTGGCTGAGGGAAGGAGGTTCTCACCCAAGATTTGACGGTACATGGCCCCGTCCATCGTCCCTTTGATGCGGTGAAGTTATCCTGTCCCCTTAGCAGAAAACCACCCCCAAAGCATAATGTTTCCACCTCCAAGTTTGACGGTGGGGATGGTGTTCTTGGGGTCATAGGCAGCATTCCTCCTCCTCCAAACACGGCGAGTTGAGTTGATGCCAAAGAGCTCGATTTTGGTCTCATCTGACCACAACACTTTCACCCAGTTCTCCTCTGAATCATTCAGATGTTCATTGGCAAACTTCAGACGGGCCTGTATATGTGCTTTCTTGAGCAGGGGGACCTTGCGGGCGCTGCAGGATTTCAGTCCTTCACGGCGTAGTGTGTTACCAATTGTTTTCTTGGTGACTATGGTCCCAGCTGCCTTGAGATCATTGACAAGATCCTCCCATGTAGTTCTGGGCTGATTCCTCACCGTTCTCATGATCATTGCAACTCCACGAGGTGAGATCTTGCATGGAGCCCCAGGCCGAGGGAGATTGACAGTCCTTTTATGTTTCTTCCATTTGCGAATAATCGCACCAACTGTTGTCACCTTCTCACCAAGCTGCTTGGCGATGGTCTTGTAGCCCATTCCAGCTTTGTGTAGGTCTACAATCTTGTCCCTGACATCCTTGGAGAGCTCTTTGGTCTTGGCTATGGTGGAGAGTTTGGAATCTGATTGATTGATATCTGTGGACAGGTGTATTTTATACAGGTAACAAGCTGAGATTAGGAGCACTCCCTTTAAGAGTGTGCTCCTAATCTCAGCTCGTTACCTGTATAAAAGACACCTGGGAGCCAGAAATCTTTCTGATTGAGAGGGGGTCAAATATTATTCGAATTTATAACATTTTTGACACGCGTCAATTATTATTTTGTTGTTATTCTGTCTCTCACTGTTCAAATAAACATACCATTAAAATAATAGACTGATCATTTCTTTGTCAGTGGGCAAACATACAAAATCAGCAGGGGATCAAATACTTTTTTCCCTCACTGTATGAAGAGTGGTACTCCGTGATGTGTTGTGTTGGATTTGCCCCAAACATAATGCTTTGTATTCAGGACATAAAGTTCATTTCTTTGCCACATTTTTTGCAGTTTTACTCTAGTGCCTTATTGGAAACAGGATGCATGTTTTAGAATATGTTTTATTCTGTACAGACTTCCTTCTTTTCACTCTGTCATTTAGGTTAATATTGTGGAGTAACTACAGTGTTGTTGATCCATCCTCAGTTTTCTATCACAGCCATTAAACTCTGTAAGTGTTTTAAAGTCAACATTGGCCTCATGGTGAAATCCCTGAGTGTTTTCCTTCCTCTCCGGCAATGGAGTTAGGAAGGACGCCTGTATCTTTGTATTGACTGGGTGTAACGATACACCATCCAAAGTGTAATTAATAACTTCACCAAAGGGATATTCAACGTCTGTTTTTTTTTTTTTACCCATCTACCAATAGGTGCCCTTCTTTGCGAGGCATTGGGAAACCTCCTTTTGTCTTTGTGGTTGAATCTGTGTTTGAAATTCACCGCTTCACTGATGGACCTTACAGATAATTGTATGTGTGGGGTACAGAGATAAGGTAGTCATTCAAAAATCATGTTAAACACAATTATTGCACAGAGAGTGAACCCCTGCAATTTACTGTGACTTGTTAAGCACATTTATAATTCTGAATTTATTTAGGCTTGCCATAACAAAAGGGTTGAATAATTATTGACTCAAGATAATTCAGCTTTTCATTTTTAATTAATTTGTAAACATTTCTAAAACATAATTCCACTTTGACATGATGGGGTATTGTGTGTAGGCAAGTGACAAAATCTCAATTTAATCAATTTGAAATTCAGGCTGTAACACAACAAAATGTGGAAAAAGTCAAGATGTGTGAATACTTTCTGAAGGCACTGTAGTCCTACATAAGAATATATTGCCACCCACTTCTTTCCTGCTGGAATAGTGGTATTTTCTCTCTGCTGTATGCAATTGTGATTAGGTGTATTGGTCTATGTAGTGATCCATATTCTGTTTGACCTTAATCCATGACAGTATCGATAATGTTGAGCAGACATTCAGACACACTCCCTCATTATCCAGAGGTCAGACTGAAATCCAATATATGTGATAAACTACAGCAGGTGTATCTAGTTAAAGGAGTACTCCATAGCTTTTCTTTCCACTGAAACAACTAAATGTCACTCAATTTAGACCTATCAGGACGTTGTTCGTCCTTATTATCCTCTTCCCCTTTGATTTTGTTGGTCCTACTTGCAAAGACCCTTTCCCTCAGTCCTCCAAAACAAAAACAAACAAGTGTCAGGGCCACACTGTTGGTCGGAATTAGAAGCTATGAAGT